TGTGTGGGGGGTGGGGTGGGTGTTGTCTTTATTTCTTTAGACAGAGACTTGAGTGTTTGTTGTGGAAATGAAATATAGACATGACCTTTGGTGATCAATACACATTCATCTTACTAAATGTACCTTTACCAGCAGTTACAGTAGCTCTGCATCTACCTGGTAGTTCAAAGAAGACTAATGGATCACCTGTTACTTAAAATGGCAGAGTGTCCAAAGCGGTTGACATCAAGGTAGAGGTTCGGTCGAGGCAGCACTGTCCACTCATCGCATGCTGAAATGAGAAGATTGTCAAGAAGTCAAAATATTGACCTGCTCCCAAACAATCCATCAACTGTCATTTTCAATCAATCACGTCATTTTCATATCATGCTTGAACGGTTATAACAAGGCCTGTAACAAGTCCTCTGCACATGTAAAACAAAAGTGAGCAAAGTTTCCTTGACTGTAAAACTGGGAGTCTTGCTGCAGGCGGAATAACCATGGTAGGTAGTAAGAGCAGTAAATGAGGGTGTTGAGTCTAAAAAAATGACCATTTTTAAAAACATTTCAAAATAATGGGTTGCAGTTACCGTATGGGAAGGGCTAAAATAGAGTAAAAAAAAAAAAAAACAAAGAAAAAAAACTCAAAAGTAAAATAAAATATAAAAATTATTAGTTTTAATGTTTTTCTTTCAGTAAACATTTCCATAAAACATTCCAGTGGCCTTTAGTTCTGATTAAAAATGTAATGACTTGCAAAAATCCCAAACTAGAGTAAGAGTTACAATTCATTCAACCTTTATTTAGACAGGTTAGTCCTATTGAGCCTCAGACATTTTCAAGAGACCTGATTCTAACAAAGAGTGATGACAACAGTGGACAACAAAGACAACAGACAATCATAAAGGATGTGTACAAATTGAGAAGAACAAGTGAAAATAAAATGGTACTAAAAAATGTAACAAAAAACAGCTAAGTTATAAGGCCATGTAGAAAACTAAAAACAAGAATATGTCTGCATTGTTTTTTCTCAGGAACTTAACAGATGTTTCAAGTCACTTAGAGAGGTCATGATCGAGGGCTACAGATCTTTTTGCAAGATAATAACAATCCTTACATATATACTCACACACACACACATA